CCACCCAGGCCCCATGTAGGTCTTGAAGCAGCATAACACTGTAAGGGTATTCAACCCCACACAATGTCAACCTCATTGTCCTTGATATCTGTGTGGTACTTCAAAAAATCCTGCATACAGGCTGCTTGAAACGAGCTCCAGAATAAACGTTGGAAGAGGATGTGGCAATACAGACCAGGAGAACCAAAATAGTACATTACACTGTAATCATGTCATGTGAAATTACACTCTCCACTCTCTTACAGCTGTCACACTACAAAATGCATACCCCAAGAGGCCCGTGTCCTACCTATGCCCTGAGACCTTTCTCTGGAAAATTCCTGCTAGCCTTTCCTGCAGGCTAAAGGCAAAGAAGAGAGACAGACAGAGACTTTGTCCCTCACCCCTTCTTGCACACCCACAACATCCACCAGCTTCGGTGTGACTGCTGGGCGTGCAAGGAGCCAAGGCACAGAACCTGAAGTTTTGTGAGACATGCATCCATACACACCAGTTAAATAAACAGGAGGGATTAGCCAATTAAAAAAAATAAAAAAGGCAAAACCACATGCCTGTCTCAAAGCAACGTTTTTAAAAATCCGTTTGCACCCTTTATTCTTTACACATTGTTAATTAAAATCTTTCCCCAGGCAGAATCATACTGAGTTGTATGAACTAGCAGGGAGGTTAAAGGGACAAGATAGGGCTGAATCGTGCAGAAGGAGATAAAAGCAGGAAATCCCACAAGAGAGAGCACTGATGGCTGAGTACCACCTGAGATGACAGCAGCCTTCCCTGCCATCACAGCACGACTGGTATTTTGCATCCTTTTCCACAGTTTTCTCTAAGTAGATTAAATCATAAGAGGTAGCATTGTTCTAGCTGAACCCCTAATGCTGCATTAATTATATTTTCTTCCTATCTTCATTACATCCACAGTACTTTTCCCCTCATGTAGGAGTGAGTGACAACATTTTTGGAAGGGAAGTTCTTTAAAGCTTATGCTTTTCACATCAAAGCATGGAAACAATCTCCTCCACCAAGTTCTTCAAAATTATTCCACCATCTAGAACTATTGGATTATCTCCCAGAACAATGTCATTCAGCTCAACATTAAAAGAAAAAAACCCACACACAAAAAAGCCCCACACACACCACACACACACACACCACCACACCTTCAAATAACAAACCACAACTCTCACAAAAACAACACTCAGGCTCAAACAAATGTCCTCACACCTCCTTCCTCACATGGACTTTTTCAATAGGTCAATTTTCTGTTCTATTTCCCTTGTTCACAAAGGAACACAGACAAATACCAAACACTGGGCAGGCCAGTGGAGGGGTTAATCCCACTTCTTCAACAGTTTAAGGCCCAGTTACACACAACTGGCATCCAACTCTCTAACCAAATGTCAGTGAGGCAACTCCTGATGCCCAACACTGCCCAGTAAAGATCTCTGATAGAGTCCTTCACTAAGCAGTGGAGAGTTCCACGACTTCACAGTCACCCTTCCCTACCATGGGCTAATATTCAAAAGGCTCACAGGAGACATTTATCAAAGACAATCACATGGAGATAGTTTTTGGATAGAGACAGACCCTTGCCCAAGGCAATTTTCAGCAGG